TGGTGAATGCCAGCACTTGGACTCTTATGGCTGGTACTCCTAATGGACAATCTGGTTCTATATCGACCATGCTTAATTTCCCGACAGATTTCGCTTTCGATTCGAGCGGTAATTTGTATGTAGCCGATACTAACAATGATCGCGTTCAACTTTTCTTGTCCGGTAAATTGAACGGAACAACGATTGCTGGCTTGACGAGTCAATCTGGCAGTACGGCTGTCCTACTTAACGTACCACGTTCAATTACATTGGACAGTGCTTTGAACTTGTACGTGGTGGATAGTGGGAACAGTCGCATACAGAAATTTCAGCGGGCCTAAACTTTTAGCGAGTCGGTTCGGATAAAACTATATTTTTGCCTGATTGGGGATTTTTCTGTGGAAAGTAAAACATATATTTAGAATGAATTGATTCGAAATAAAAGAAACGGGATAGCGTGATTTAGAGTTTTGAAAACGTCATTGGTAATGTGTATTGAACGATAGAGAGAAGCTATTTGACTTGGTTGCCTTAGTTCCTCGCGATAGGCCGTAGCTAAAATATCGATGCCTTTCATAACGTTGTGACTGTTCAGAGCATTATGGATGAAACACTGCTACTGATTTCATTGAACTTGCTAGCAAGTAGGGGCAGGGCTAAAAAAATCAGTAAACTAGACAAAAAGATTCGACTCTGCCCAATAATCTGATTTTCTCTCTTGATCTATGAATTATTGATTGTCATTGTAGTCGTTGAGGTGTACCCTTGTGATTCTAAATATGAACAATTACTTAGTTTCAGGAAATATAATGTGCTAAATATGCGAGATGTGAGAACAGAATGTTTGTTTAATTTTCAGTTTTCGACAATGAGAATAAAAGAGATCTCACGAATTCAAGTGTGATTGTAGAGAGCTCGAACAAAGTTACCTACATAAAAAGAAATTTTAGTCCCCTCGGTTGTACCGAGTGAAAAGTTTCAGGGGTAAAAATTGATTAGAATTTCAAAATTCTATGAACATAACCAACTATAATCGATTTTAATCTGATTTATCGATATTTACTCTTGCATGAGCAAATATCAATTGATATTGTGTCTCAAAATGTGACATTATTTTTTTCATTGATTTCAATATATTATGTTGTTGCAGTTATCTTCGTTTTTTACGATTAATAAAGTATTATTTTTCATTATCGATTGTATGTAAAAATGTGTAAGATACTTGTGAAAGCTTATAGCTCTGGTCAGCGTATGCACATGCGCCTGCATATGTTATCACTGCTTTTATTCTGTTCTCATGTCGTCTCAATCTTATCTTCTTTTGTGTTCTCATATCCTCTCTCTTTTCTTATGTGAAGTGATTCTAGAACATTAGTTAAGCTCTGTGTCTGCTTATTTTTAGCAACAACACAATGAAACGAGAGAAAAAGAACAAACATAACATGTTTCTGATAAGATAGGCTGACAGCAACATCAATGGAATATATGTGCAATGTTTTAAACAAAACTTTTAGAAAGTGAAGCAGGCGATAAGGAAGATTGAAAGTGTAAGTATTTGCGAGACCCCATTGCATTTTTCTCAATATAGCCAACCTATGCCCGTTTTCGATGTCAAGGTTGTACTGTCTTATTCCGCAGCAAATGCCCTTGATTTTTCTTCTTCTAAGATTGGGCGTAGAGAAAAGAGGAACAAACCGAGATACATACACATCTCAATTTTACGCCTCTGGACATTTACAAAAAAATAAAATGGAATGCTCGACGAGTAATAGTATACTTCAATTCAAATGAACATGAGTATCATTTTCCCAAAAATTGCTGTTGAGAATTTCAGAACGGAACCTTATTTCAAACGCGTTTTTCTTTCCTGTCTCATATTTTAAAAAGAGAAATCAGTCAAAATCAAGTATGCAGTAATGTATATTACTGGGGTTCAAATTTCATTTGAAAAACTAAATCTGAAGCGCTATTCTACATTGCTGAATACTTGCTTGTTTCTCATACTGTACTAAAAAAATGATTCTTCGTTGTAGTAGAATCTAAAATATTTACTAATTTTTAGACTATCGTTGCATTTGAAAAATCTGCTCGTGGCTTATTTTTAATAGGAAAATTGAAATACTAGAAAATACATCTACATGTTGAAAATCTTCTTTGGCCTGCTGTGGCTGCTTGGTGATATTGTACCTTGGCACTTGGCGTCTAACACCATTCGACCAACCGATGTTCGCATTGAATATTGGTTGTTGAAGCAATATGATGATGTTGTGATAGACACTCATACACCGATCATCTCATGGAGTTTGCCAACAGTTGCAAATAACAATTATCAACAACGTGATATTCAACAAATGGCTTATCAAATTAAAATATATGAACGACCTACACATGATACCACCACATCGATCTTGTTATGGGATACTGAGCCGGCAGCATCTTCATTCAGTACAGTGCAATACAATGGCCCCATGTTTGTCACAGATTGTCGTTATGAATTGCATCTGAGATATTGGTCGAGCGATGGGATGAAGAGTAATTGGTTCATTGGCAAATTCCGTACAGTATTCTCCGATGTATTTAATGGATCACAATGGATTGGTAGTAATAGTATCAACATGAATCAATTACGGAAAACATTCAACATAGAATCGTCATCATCGATTACATCAGCTTTTGCCGCCATTAGTGGAATTGGATATTATGAATTACATGTTAATGGACAACCAGTCGACCCATCTCGTAAGTTGGATGTTGGGTGGACTACTTATCAGCAACGTACATTATATGTATCCTATGATATGACTAAGTTCTTGACTGGGGGTGCCAATGCAATTGGAGTCTTTTTGGGACAAGGTTGGTATAATCGGCAGCAGTGGATAATTGGTCCAGGACCGAGGACCGAGCTCAGTACACAATATGGACCACCTCGGTTTATTTTTCACCTGACAATATGCTTAAGTGACAAGTCTACCATCAATATCAACAGTGATGAAACGTGGCTGGGACGTGAAGCAGAACATCGAGCTGACAACGTCTATATGGGCACTGTCGTAGATTATCGTGCAGCACGACCCACATTCTCTACTGTGACATTTTTTGACAATACATCGTTATGGATCAATGCTTCTATTCTATCGTCTCCTGTGAAAGATGGCACTTTAAGTTTACAAAGAATGCCTCCGATACGTGCTGGACCCGATGCATTAAATATTCCAGATCTCAGCTCTATCGACGATATTACCACTAGTATAGTTGAGAGCTATCTATATGGCGCTGATTTGACCAAATTCAACGGTGTATTAATACCTATTGGAACTGATTATGGTAATGGACAGATTTTTGATTTAGGTCAAAACTTTGCTGGTTGGTGTCGAGTGACTGGCATCAACGTTCCAAGTAGCTATATCGTACAATTACGTCACTCTGAATATCGTTATTCACAGGGTACTAATGGTATTAGATTCAATGGTATTGATACTGAGAATTTAGATTCTATTGCCGCTACTGATACATTCATTTTAAATGGTTCTGTAAATGAAACCATTGAACCGATGTTTACCTATCATGGCTTTCGGTATCTCTTAGTGAATGGATTACCAGACGTTGATAGCTCACAGGTAACATGTTATCCTGTGCATACAGAAACAAGTTTGATCGGCAACTTCTCATCATCTTCAGTTATCCTAAATCAAATTCAACACAACATATTATGGTCGCAATTGAGTAATACAATGTCATTACCCACTGATTGTCCACAAAGAAATGAAAGAAGAGGCTGGATGGGTGATGCTGGCCTTTCAGTAGATGAAGCATTATACAATTTTGATTTGATCCAGTTTTATTTGAATTTTTTAACCATGATTCAGGATAATCAAGCTGCAGACGGCGCAATATCTGATACAGTACCATTCGCTGTCGGATTCTCACCAGCTGATCCAAATTGGGGCACTGCATATATTAAAATAGCATGGGCATTGTATGAGCACACAGGTGATATCACAATCCTACAACAATATTACACTGGTATTCGAGCTTGGATCGATTGTTTAACAAGGCAATACCGGCAAACTGGTTTGGCTCACTTCTTCGGGCATTGGGGTGATTGGGTGCCAGTTGCACCGATGACTAATCTTTCATTGATCTCTTCATTTGCCTATCTACACGATGTTCATCGATTCATCAATATTTCTACAATATTGAACCAAACAGAGAATACGAAGAATTATACAGAATTGTACCATACATTAGCAAAAGAATTTCATACGGTTTTTTACGATGGCACACTGAGAGGTTATGCAGATAATAGCCAAGCTGCTAATGTTTTAGCTCTGGCATTACCTAATGTCGTACCTGATGAGATACAAACTACTGTGTGGGAATCATTATTGAATAATATTAAGAGTCAAAATGTGCATTTCACCGGTGGAATTGTTAGTGTGGCTCAATTGTATCCGTTGTTATCTAGCAATGGTAATCATGATTTAGCAGTACAATTGGCCAGCTCCACCACTTATCCATCATATGGTCATATGTTCAATAATCCAATACAGAATGCCACAACGACATGGGAAACATGGAATACACTACCTGATTCAGCTGGCTCCTCGCTCAACCATCATATGTTCAATAGTATTGGCAGCTGGTTTTATCGTTATCTAGCAGGGTTGCGCTTATCGCTGGCAGAGCATCGAATATACATTCATCCTCGTATGACGCATGATGAAACTTTACTGAAGGCTGTATCAGCAACGGTCAAGACACAAAAAGGTTTAGTGAGAGTTGCGTGGACAAGAGCTGTCGATCTTTTAGAACGATTATCCATGCCATCATTATCTGCACAGATCGTGAAGATGGCTGTCACGATACCAACAACTTTGGAAGGTATCATCTCATTTGATCCTCTACTGAAGTCTGGTCAATGTCATTCCATTTATGTTGACCAGAAGTTATTATGGAAACGGTCATCTCTGTACTGTCCTCAACATGTTCATACTAGTGCAATTGATGATTTATCCCTGATCACTGTTGTCAATGGCGTGAAACAACTGTCAGAAGTCGTACAGAGTGGCACAATGACATTGCGAGTATCATCTGGACAGTATCAGTTTCATGCTGTATGGATAGAAAATTCTTGTTGAGAAGTGAAGATTGGAGCGTGGTTATGATTTTCAAAATAAGTGTTTCTAATAAAAACTGCAACAAGTTCAGAACTGCGTAGCTCGACCTGTAATGGATGACTATTCATTGATCATGTATCATTGATTCTGGAATTTGAATAATAATCACCACCTTTCAGCATAGGTTGAGCAGTGGCAATGTGATCTCGGTTTGGGTTCAGATTGGAGATGGGAAAAGTAGAGTGACGAATAGTAAATAGACTGCTCTTCTTGTTGTGTCACATGTTTATTCGCTTCGAAAGATTCCTGAGAATGATTACTTTGGGATAGATATCGATTATTTTAATACTCGTAATAACCCATGTAGCCGATAATGGATGAATAATGGGAAAATGACCCATTATTTTCCATTATTTCAAAAAAACTGAATTAATGCATTATAATGCACTAAATAGGTTGTATTATCATGTAGTTGCATACATTGCATTTCTATTGTAAAATAATGCATTGCAATGTCCATTATTTCACAAAATCGGCTACATGGGTGAGTGCATCGTAGAAGAGAAGTGTAGCCCTCAACACTATACGGCACTGCACTCACACCCTCATGAGCTATGAGAAAAAGAAAATAGATGGAGTGGTTTGGCCCCGAAAGAATAAAACGAAGTACTGTTTTGCGTAGATGGGAATAGAGAAATAAAGAATTTCGTTTGTCGAATGTTTTCGAAGGAAAGTATGGAACAATAAAGTTTAATACCATAGTCAAGACAAATTAATTTTTTGTTTTTAGTTAAAACAAAATATTTACATTACTGATGTTTGTAATTCTGATTTAAGAAAAGAGTTTCACTTGGATTGCAAACTCCAATTGTTTCTACCATTAGTGTCTATCATATTCAAGGTTCGAATAAATAGCCAACACAAATTTTATTTCAATAATTTCCAATGACACATTTTTATTAATTGAAATATCTGCAAACTGCTCGACCTAAGTGATCTTTATGATAAGCCTAATTAATAGCTGAATATTCTTGTTATGGAACCTTTTTATGCTCGGTTTTCATATTTTGTAGTATTTGTTGCTAATTGAAAGTATATCATACATTTTGGATGTAGAATTAGACTTCATCAAACCACTTGTGGAGTAGCTTTATATCGAAATTAATGATTTGGTAGGTTCAGCTACACTCTCAGAATTCAATGCTAACATATACTAGTCAATACAGCAAAACTTTGTTTAGTATCAAAATGGCTTGATTATGAAAAAGATGAGATTAACGTTTCTCGAAAAAGAAAAAGACACGAAAAATCATATGCGAACAGGCAAGATCAAACAAGACCTGTAATGCGCACTACTATCAGTTTCTCTTTTCTATGAATCTTGTAAGATTTACGCTACAATCTTTGATTCAAAATCTGATGAAATCTTTCGAAAAATGAACTAATAAGACTCGGTCTGATTTTATCATAGGATTAGATAGAAAATCTTGTATATGCAAGATCTTACAAGGCCTTGTACGATATGTTGTCAGATCTTTTGACCTGACTGTTTTTTATGTTTTACTAGACCTACGAAGGTTGAGAAGTATGCTTTTCTAGTTGTTCTCTCTTCTTCAAAGTGTTCTTTCTGTTGTTCATTGCTTTCCGTGCCTTGATTTGCCATTAAATTAGGTATTTCACTTTATTTCGTTTTATTCTTTACCGGTGTAAACTAGGTTTTTTTACTCTATATTTTCTTCAAAGATAATTGTTTTCCTACCGAAGTGAAGGTAATATTATTGACCACTGATATATCAAACCGCGCAACGTCGAGTTTTTCAATAAAATAACAGAATCCTAGTTCTCCAATACTATCTGGTCATACATGATCGTATACAATAATGATGTACGATCCGATCCGATCAGTTAAGAATCTGTGACTGATCTTACTGTCTGATTTCTCGCCCTGAGTATTTACATTTTTATTCGATCCCAGGGCAAACAATCAGATGTTAAGATCTGATAAGATTCTGCATCTGATCATATATGATCGTGTAAGATCCGACAAAAAATCGTACAAAAATCGTAGTCTCTGAGATCTTAGACCAAGTCTCACAATCAGATTCTTGAAAGATCTTATCAATGTGTACGATCTTTCAAGAATCTGATTCTGCGACTTGTTCTAAGATCTCAGAGACTACGATTTTTTGTCAGATTCTTGTAAGACTTCGCACATATTCCAAGATCTTGTAAGTATTTCATAAGATCTTGTGTCAGATTCTTCGACCTGGGAAGCCATATATCTCGAGAACGGCTCATCCGTTTGAGCTGAAATTTTAGGTTTATTTCTAGCTCTAATGTAGGTATCTACTGCAAAAATGGCAATCAAATCCGTGATATGGATTGAGCAAGGTTTTGTAGAAAACGGTCGTGGCTTACGTGCAATGCCTCATAGGTAAGTAAAATATACAACACGAAGCAAATGAAGTAAAAATAAATTCTTACATCATAATCATTTATTTACTCATGCATGCAATAAGGAAAAAAAAACAAATGCATAGGCTGCATGAGCTCTAAGGCATAAGAACATTTAAATTACTAATTAGGATAGTTCTCTGATTGAAAAATTTGCTAGAATTTTTTTTAATTATGTTTTTTTTATCTACATGCAGACACACGATTGGCTGTGCATCAGCACAAAGTACCTAAACATAAAATATTTAAAAAAATAACGTTTACTTTTTTACATTTATGTTTTTAGCTGGCACAAAATATACGGTGTTTTCAAATAATTTATGGAGTCAAGCATTAATACTCAGAACAGATACTCAGAACCAATACTATAGCCCAATTAGAACGATTTAGTAGAATTGATTAAACCGTTCGTATAATTCTGCTCCGTTTTATCATATTTACTTATCAATAATTTCTTCCTCAATTTGCTAAGTCAAGTTCGATATGTCGCTCGAATAAATTTTTTATTTTATACTTTCTTTACTGCTTTGTTTTCGTTTCTTTTCATTATTTCGTCATTTCTTGTCGCTATTACACATCTGTACGCCTTTATTCTAATTTATTTGGGTGGAATAGTTACAGACTCTTCATAAGAAGCGACTCTTTTTTTATATACTTCTATTGTGACTGTTTTATCTCTGTGAAATAGAGAATTAATGAAAACAACTTTGATAACAATATACAAAAACTATCTTCCCTATCGATTACTCAAAAACATTTCAAAAATACTTGAGAAATAATCGAGTTACGAGCGGTAGTCACCACCAGTGCAGTTCTGTGTGAAAGCACGTCCCTCATTATATTGGTTTTTAACTAGTATACATCAGGAAAAACGTATGCAATTCTTAATGAGGAATGTGTTTTCATTTAGGACGGCATACGCATAATACCACTCTTCGCTCAATTATTTTTCAACTTTTTTGAAAATTCTTTGGCTGATAGATAGAGATATTTTTCTAATTTGTTGTCAAAGTTGAGCTCATTGATTCCTTATTTCAAAGAGATGCAATGGTCACGATAGAAGCACATAAAAATTCAGTTCTTTTTCGAAGGGCTTGTAGCCTGTGGATTCTCTTACTTTATTTGGATTATTTTTTGTGTTTTTTTATTTTTTTCCCATGGATCCACTTCCTCATTTTTTTAAATTATGAATCTCCTAGAAGATTGTTTAAATTTACATAGGATTAGTCAGCAGTAGCTTTGAAAAAGAATATTGTCGATTGAAATTGAGAAAAATATGAGCTAGCTGTAGAAAATGTCCGAGATTAAAATTCTTCGATTTCTATGGCCTAACAATGGACAATAAAAAAATGCGTCTTTTTAGATTTTTTGTTTCTCTCTCCTCCTGTCCCTTTGAACCAGTAAAGTTTTTAAAATATTGTAAAACAGCACTCTAGAAAATGAAAATTGTGCCAATTGCTTCTGAAATAGGTATTAGTAATTCATCGTATTTTCAGAAAGACGCGAGATTGTATAATTAGTAGTTCTCATTTTCCTAGTAACCTATCTTTAATATTGTCAAATCATAATTAATCTGGTTGGTCAAAGCACTTAAAATGTATAATTTTTGGTACATAACTGTAACAGCTTGACCTCTAATATGAATTCAAAACGAAGAAAAACAAATTAGCGTAGATCGGTTAGGATGGTACTCTGGTGGATTCTATATTCCACAGCGTCAAACTATTTCTTTACGCTACACTCATTTCAATGTTTACGTAATAAATTTCAACCTTCTCTCTTTATTACTTCGAAATATTATTAGAAATCGTAGTTTTATATACTAATCATTTTTAATCGACATTTAGACGACACATTGAACAAGCATAAGTTGAGTCAATTGCAGATTTCTTTACCAACAAATGAAAGTTATTTATGTAAAGAAATAAAAATTATTATATAATATTAGTAGAGGTATTTTGAAGATTTTTCAAACTGTCAACATGCATACATATCAGTTTTTTCGTAGTAATAAAAAATAGGTAGAAACTTTACTGCATAACCCAACATAACTAGATATAAGAATAATTTACAATTTTTTTGGAAGTGCAATCATATAGAAAAACACAGATTTCTAGATGTAACTACTCACAAGTAAGAATATGAGATACAAGTAATAGAAATATCCTTTAATAATATTTGCCAATAGAGTTCACATTTTTTTACAACTGATATTTTTATAAAAATAGAAATTTCGAAAATTCTAATTATAAACTAATTTGACTTCGGTGCTATATTTTAAAAATAGGATAAGTTTTATTTTTTTCAAATGTATTTTTTCTAATTATTAGAAATAAAGCCTGTCAATGCTTGAATTATAAGTAAGACCGATTTGTTGGAATCGATGATTGCGATTACATTGAAAAGTGATCATGCTCTCTGCATCATGTGATCCATTAAATTAAGTGTACAGACAGATCATTTGTGAAATGAAAATGTTTGACTCTAGCAATTCGCGTGTTACAAAAACAAATACGACGGTATAGTTATTATTCCATGAACCAAAAATTTCGTTCAATTGAAAATAGTAATGAGAATCCGAGCATTGATAAAATGCTAAGTATTATATCGTTCATCGCATAAACATGCTTTTTATATTCTTGTGTTTAAATATCAAAAACGATTTTCTCGCGCTTTACATTTCTAATCACTCACTAGGAGAAACAGATAATAGTCTCAATACGTTAAGGATAAACCATTGTAACCCTATACATCGTTATAAAAGGCGTCAATGTGCCTCGAGTTTTATATATAATTTAATAGAGTTCTTTAAGTTAGACGTATATATTTCTTTAATTTCTACAGCAAATATCTAACATAAAATAATGAAAATCAACGAGTCAGAACGAAATATATTAGTAGCCTCAGCAAAAATACATTTATGACGAATTTTTGAATTTTGAATCTGAAAAAAATAGTCTCTAATATTGATTTCAAATTTTATCAGACAAATCAGCTATTCATCAAATATAATATTTGTCAAACAAGCTCTTCATATGGCATCTGGAATTTATCAATACATTTTTTTCTGTTCTTCAAAACGGACAAAACATATTTTTCCATCACTCGAGAATATTATATGTATTACGCAAGGTGTGGTTTTATTTTGATTATATTTCAATATTTCTCGAAAAATAACCCTGAAGCATAGAAAATTCTGCATTGAACTGGTCAAATATTGAATTCTTGCTCTCTCAACAAGTGAGAATTTTAAAATTCAATATTAAATTTAGACATTCAACAAAGTCCAAAGTCGACAGATCAAAATGCTATGGAATAACTGATCAAAATAATTTTTAGTCTCGTATCAATACCAAAGACTTTCAAAGTAAACGAAATATGCTCATCAAGGTATACCAACAGTAGAATTCTCTGATACTTGTTTTTTCACTAGAAAATGCATGTGATATTTCTTGTTATTTGCAACCACATTTAATAGATTATTTCTATCTAACCCTTTACAGTCGACTATTTGAAAAAATGCTGTATCTCTCTGGGTTAATATAATTTCATTTTTAATATTGATTAATCAGATATAAAGTCACAAAAGTATTGTTTTACGACAGAGTAAATTTACAAGCTGGTCTTTGTAATCGTTTCCGAGACTATTCATGTATATCAATAATTCACCCATTCTATTAGAATGTAAGGTACACCAAGGTCAAAAATCGAACAGTAGAAAACTTCCTTTTATTATTATATGGTTCGATAGAGCTTGATGAGTAGATCATGAATATCATCTTTAAAATATTTCTAGGCTTCCGTTTTGATTGAGAAATTTTCAAAATACAAACTGCACGTGAAAAAGCGAATATTTCACTTTTTTCGAGAAAACTCGAAATTTACCTAGTTGAACAATATTCTATGCGTAGAAAGCTATCATCATTCGATTCAGCATGCAACTCTGAATCTACTGATGTAACTTTGATTAGTAAAAAACATTGAGTTTCATGTTTGAGGAGCTCAACTAGGTCCCCATATAGACACCTTGAAATTGATGTCTCGCAAAATCATCAACTATCTTTTTTCAAAGTAATTCTCGGATTTTCTTACATTATTCGAACCGCCAAGCAATAGCGAACAAAAGTATATATTCAGTTTGAAAAACATTGTTCTGTCTCTGAGAAAATCGAGTTTTACTAGATTGGCGGCTATAGGTTAATGAATTACCTTCTTATTTCGAGGTTTTGACTATCAAAACTCAACTTCCATGCAAAATAAACATCAGATTCAGAATCAGCACGAAAAGCAACATTAACTATCATAAGTTTTATCAAAAAATAATTTTCATCAAAATTTTACCAGTTGGGGAGGGGGTACAGGATAAAATCAAGAAAAAAATGACTGAGCGGTAGCAGGCNGATTTCGAGTTTTCTCGAAAAAAGTGAAATATTCGCTTTTTCACGTGCAGTTTGTATTTTGAAAATTTCTCAATCAAAACGGAAGCCTAGAAATATTTTAGTAATAATAATAATAATAGCTCCCATAGGCTTGTCACCCGTTGGGGCCAGCGCTGGACTCCACGTGCGCCAGTTTCTTTCATCTTTTTCTTTTTTTACGGAAGATGGTATCTGCACTCCTTTCCGTCCAACGCTTCTTCCATATGGGTTGGTGATCATCATTAAGTGTCACGTGATTGTGACATCTATGATGGGGTTGTTTTTGACTCTGTATATTGACTAGCAATGCAATCAATGCACTATCGAATTAGTCATCCGAGACAAGTAGTCGTTAGTGATTTGTTCAGGGTCTTTGCATGACTGGTGATACTGAGGTTTGAACACAGTATATTGTGAATATGTGTCGAACAACATATCCACTCAGTCGTGTCGACATTACAAATATTTTAAAGGTGATATTCATGATCTACTCATCAAGCGCTATCTAACCAAATAATAATAAAAAGAAGTTTTCTTCTGCTGGATTTTTGGCCTTGGTGCACCTTATTTAATACGAAAATTTCAAATTTTGTTTTAATGTCAAATCGATCGAAAAAAAATATCAAACCAATAGATATACTCTCTTTTCTTCTCTCAATAAAACAAGCTTTGGTAAACTTTTTCGTTTGCCCTTGAAACCTAAAAAGAGTGATATTTAGAAATCCCACGTGGTATTGGATACAAAGACATAAATTAAATTCATGCTTTCATATCCAATTTCGTAGGTTGAATCTAAATATAAGCTTTTTGGCGTCATAGAGCACATGGTGTTAATAGAAGAAAGCGTGAGTGATTTTTGCAAGTTTCAACGGCTTTTCTATAAATTTGAAATCCAACAGAGCTTTACAATTTTTCGATATTACAAATGTTGTCGTGCAATTCATTGATTTATCTCGACTATCTCATAACAAATTATCGTTCTGAATTTTTTAGGGTTCTATATATTGTAGTACTATTTCGTGAGCATTTGCTTGTTCTAGTCGGAAAGCCTTCGAAACTAATAAGTTCTAACATTTTTGGCGGCAACTTTCAATGCTTCAGAAAATCGTATTGAAATCTAGTACTGTAAAAAGTTCACGTAGAGACTTCTTGCTTTGTAGTGAGTATCTATACTAAAATATTCAATAAAAATAATCTTCTGCTTAACTTCTAAATTACTTACTCATGTGATGTTTTATTGAATATTATTTTTAGAACCTATTTAAAGCCGGCCATGAATCATTTTTTAATTGTTTCTACACAATTTTCATAATTAGAAGAACATACGTTGATTCATTCGTTATTAGCAAAGAATCAAACTAATTTCCAAGAGATCAACTTGAACAAATAGTATTGAATTGAAACTGTAATATAAAATGCATCTTCATATAGTAATGATTGATGTATTATTTGAAGAAAGATTTATTTAATACCTGGCCAATGAAAAAGAAAGATAGCTGATAGAAATCATTTTTCTTTGAGTTATATCTTAGTATTGAATATTATTTTATTAGGTGGCGAAAAATCTCATTAGATATTGTAACTTTCCTTATTGTTTTCTTTCAAATCATTTTTCTTTTCTACTTATAAATAATTTTTATTAACTATTATTAAACAAAATGTGTTCTCGTGGATCTTACAATGAATATTATCTTCGTTTTATTCGTAATTTATCTCAATCAATTCCAAAACGAAAAATGTTTAAAAATTTGCGATTGATATATCTTATAATAGGACTAATTGTTTCATTTAATATACTTTTTATGGCGAGCATTTTTCCATTTTCTTCATCATGTAAATTACAAGAGTCAATTATTAGTTCAAAATCAGAAGATTTTAATCATGATGCTATCAGTACCATTGAACGATCTAAAAGAGCACTTGAAAAGCTGAAAGTGTTATTAACTAGCGATATGTCTCCTGATGGTCAACCATGGATCTGGATACCTACAAAAGAATATCCGTCTGTACCTTATCAACCGACTTTTCTTTTAAATCAAACTATTCCAAAACCATTATATAACATAACAGATTTACCTAGATCTGTTGCACATGAAATTAATCGTGTTTGTCAACGATTAAAACGAGCTGATCAAGTCGGTGGAGCAATATGGTGTAAATTATTTAAAAAAACTTACTCAGATACACTTGTAACAACGACAACAATACTCGATGATAAATCAACATATATAATTACCGGTGATATTGATCTTATGTGGTTACGTGACAGTAGGTAAGATAGAGAAACAAAAAGAAGAAACATTGAGAAATTACGATTAATTAAAAATTTGAATTCAGTGCCCAAGTTCATCAATATTTAACATTATGGCAAGACTTCGAAATTCAGCGTATAATTGAAGGTCTGATTTGTCGACAAATTCAATTTATTTTTACTAATCCATATGCAAGTGCATTTCGTTTAACTCTTCGTCCCAACCCTCCGTCTGATGATTCTCTTGAACCAGTACACGTTCAGAAAGGTCGTAATCTTCATGTTGCTATGCATAACTATGAATTAGATAGTTTATGTTATCATGTACGTTTGAGTTATTTTTGGTGGAAAAAAAGTCAACGAACAAATATATTTAATCATCAATGGTTAAAAGCTATTTCAATTATAATTCAAATTATGACTGTTGAACAACATCATTCAGAAATTTCTCTTTATCGTTATACAGAATTAGATAATAATCATCAAGGTTCTAAGGTCGCTTACACAGGAATGACTTGGAGCGCTTTTCGACCAAGTGATGATGCAACAAAATATGGCTATCTTATACCCAGTAATATGATGGCATGTGTTGTTTTAGAACAATTAATGGAAATGATTAAAAAATTATTTCCTGAACAAATTTCACTTTTAAACCAAGTATGTATATTTAACACGAGTAAGATTTACCTCTGCTCCATTAGGCTTGTATTAGCCATATGTACACTAACTTATTGAAGTTTGTTAATTAAATTAAATTAAATTAAATTTAGAAGAAAAAAAAAGTGAAACACGTGCGATTTATAGATACAGTATTTAGGAAAAATTCATAAGTTCTAGTATGCGCAATATGAAATATTCTTCAATTAAAATATTGAACAGAATGGAATTATCTTCAAGAATCATAGTTACATTTTTATCTTCCTAATTATTGTGAACAAGACGATTAGAAAAAAAAATCATATTCTAATATATTCTCATGCGATGTCTATGGACAATAAGAGTAAAAACAAAAGTTGGACTAATCTCTGATATGCTTTTATAACTGCTGAAATACCATATCAACAATTCGTGCTAATCTTAGATTCAAAATAATTATTTAAAAAGGTTTTGATTAATATTATATAAATGCAGTTTTATCATAAAAAATGAATCATTACATTTGCAAATATTTTTAATAGAATCCATTTAAAAATATTCTTTCTATATTCCTAATTATATTTGATAGATCAAACAATTTAACTAGCCTATGGTAAACAAGTAATTACAATGCTAGTGTTTTTCTTCCATGATTTAGATTGTTCAATTGCATGTCGATATTCTTTCTGGTATAAATACATATGGAACAGTTAATCATGAAAAATATGGAAAAATTTATGCATTTGAAACTGATGGTTTTTCTCAGCATTTACTTATTGATGATGCTAATATACCATCACTTCTGTCAGCAACTTATTTAGGTTTTAAAACACCTTATGATCCATCAAATCTACTAATGCAATCAACACGTCAATTTATTTTATCCAAAGGCAATCCTTATTTTTTTCAAGGTAAAAATGTGTCGGGTATAGGAAGTCAACATACAGCAGCAAATTATGTTTGGCCAATGGCTATTATCATGGAAGGATTAACAACAATTATTAATAATAATACAATTAAAGATTTAGATTATATATGGCAAAGACTAGAAGTCAGTCATGCTTATACATTTTCTATGCACGAAAGTTTTAATGTTAATAATCCATTCGAATTTACTCGCGGATGGTAAATTATTTCTCACGAAAGGTTTTTGTTTTCTATATCTATTTTCAAATCATTCTAGGTTTGCTTGGGTCAATTCTCTTTTTGCTGAACTAGTTCTAACTCATCTAGAACATTTAGAAGATTGGTTATGTTTTCGACGATCAATTTAATATTAAACAATAGACTATAAACTATAAACGATCTTGTTTTCATAATCAACTGTAATTTCTTGTGATTGTAGTAAAAACAAAGCTTTAATGTTGAAAAATGATTTAAATTTAAATCAAATATATTTTGTTTCTTTGTATTTGAATTCTTGGATTACAGACAATGAAAATAACACAAACATAAACGATGAAACCGATAAAAGGAATTCAAAAAAGGAGAATTCGAACTAATTTGAGATAGTATAGATGATTATTGTCTGTTCCAATCTGAATTTTATTGTATTTATTCATAGATCCATTTTTCAGCTGTATGTTTCCAATCGGAAACTTCTTCTGGTCGAAACCATAAACCGATTTCACGTTTAGCAGCACTTTCTGAATCACTACCATGAACAATATTACTAAAATGAAGAAAACAAAAATTTAAAAATAAATTGAATGTTTTCATATTAAAATATATATCTTACCGTCCTGTAACGATACCGAAATCACCACGAATAGTACCAGGTTCCGATTTCGCTGGATCAGTAGCACCAAGCATTTTACGACCAACTGTGATAACATTTACGCCTTCCCAAACCTAAAAGACCACAAAAAACAACAACTGATTACAAACGTTAATTAAAACATAGAAACATACTGTAGCAACAACAGGTCCACTGCCAATATATTCCAAAAGTGGTTCATAAAATTTCTTGCCTTAAAATTGAAAAACAAAACATTGTCTAGCTACAGAAAAATCAACTATTTGGTTTTGTCTTACCTTTGTGTTCTTCATAATGACTTTCAAGCAAAGCTTTTGGTGGCTACAATACAAAAATAAGAAATTTGTTTTTCATTTCAATATATAGAATAAAATTTAAGAAATCATACTTGGAGCATTTTAAGTGCAACAAGTTTATAGCCACGTTGTTCAAATCGGCGAATAATATCACCAACAACTCCACGTTGGACACCATCGGGCTTAATCATGATAAATGTACGTTCAGAAGCACCAGCCATGTTTAATATATCAAGTTTAGATGATGATAATGATGATGGTTGATCGGAAATCTAAAACAAAAAAAATCACAATTAATATAAAGACGACGTCTATGTGTTGTCGGTCGATGCTTGTGGTCATGTCGTTTCATCTGAAATCGTCTTCCTCGTAGAGGCAAAAGTAAGACTAAAGTAACGAAAGAAACGAACAACCAGTACAAATATATAAACCTCCGTTTCTTAAAGAAAAAAAAAAGCCTTGGGTAAAATAATAGAGACGAGAAAGAAAGAAAAAAATAAAATAAAATATCTTCTCAGCTGACTGACTGGTTTACTAACGAAAATGTACATGTGGTGACGACGTGTACATGATATTGTCGAGATAAAACAAGTTCATTTTCTTTCCTCCGTTGAATTGTCCAACAATAGATGGCAATAATTCATCAACAAACCTGGCTTTCACATTGTGAATTGCCATCATCTTTCTTTGAACAATATTCTTGTTTATTATTGAGGTTGACATTTGTATTTAATTTTTCGCAACAAATATTTCCAATCGTTGTCAAGGAGATTAATAGTAAAATCAATAAGGTCATTTTATTTTATTCACTTTACGATTCAGTTTCTGACAAAATTGGTTAAGAATGCAATGGTTGGCCTTTGATTCACCATTAGATTCATAGAATAAAGAAAGAAAGAAAAATACGAAGATAATAATGTGTTCGTCTCTTTCAATAATATGACTAAATATAGCGATGAATTCGATGGATTTCTTTTTTCTATGTCAAATATTAGTAACAAAGATCTTGCTAATTTAACTCATTAAAATATAATTTGTTTTGCATAAATTTTATAGTGGTTGATTTATATGTAATCTATCTCATTTAATTACATTTTTTTATCAATTAATGTTAATACTAAGAATATTCTCTAATATAACGTAGGTAATTTCCTGTTTGAAAAATTATTAAGAATAATTTTTGCAATCTTCTTTTTAACTCTGACCTTGACTAATGACGTATTATTCTTCATTAAAAACAGCTGCTATATACGTATCGCAATGAATATTATACACATAGTGTTATTGAACTAGTATATATTTTCGTTTTTAATACAGAAACTTATTCAAATTTCTATCATCAATGTTGTTCCTCGCATATTTTTCTTTGAAATTATTCACTCATGATAATGTCTGATTTATTTTAAAATTGAGCATAATGACAGTAAACAAGAGTATACAACACCCTCAGTGCGGCTAAATATTAGCAAAAAAGCAAGATAATACCAATTACAAATTCCATTGCAATATTTTTATTAGTTATCTGATCGCATCGATGTCCTCGATAGTTACGATCTCTTTTTTTTCTTTCTGTTTAGTTCTAAATAAGGAAAAACAAAGTTAAAATCAGATATTGAATATCGTTCATATATTTTCTTAATTGATTTTGTTTTGTTTTGATTATTTATCTACCACTAAAAAAGAACAAAGAATGAACAATTTTTATTTGAAAAACTTTGAATGATTTATTAACTTACACAAGATAAGGATCCATTTCAGCTGGATATGGATACGATTTAACTTTACGAGATTCAAGCATTTGATGAATAAAATCAATTGATATTGGTCCTTCTACTGTATGTCCCCATCGTTTCGTAAATGATGATCGGGATCGATTAGAGCAAAATTGTCTTGAGAAAAAGAAAAATTAAAATTAAATTAGCTAAAATTTTGTTTTTCAATAATTTTCCATACGATAATTGATTCAATCGAATAACTGATTCTAGACTATTGTTTTCATTATTATTCAGTTTTAGTTCATCACTAAATGTAAACGAAAAAGTTGTGATTAAGAAAATTTTTAATGCAACAATAATAAACCGTTTGACGACTTGTTCGCATGATTCAAATATATTGAAAGCTGGAGGTTGACCATGTTCTTCAATAAAAATATTTAGAAAATTCGACATTTCTTCAGAATCTTTTGAAATACTTTTAAATATATAAGAGTCAATTTAAAAAAATAAACTAAACAAACAAATATCGAAATGTTTTACCTGCATAAATAAGCATGAAAATCATGTTTTTTATTGATCGCCGTAGTTCCACTCATTGGACTAGATTTGTGATGATGAAGCCTATGACTTGTCGATAGAAATCTGTTCATATCAGGAAATGGTATAGCAAAACGTTTTTTCCTTAACATTTAAAATAAAACAACATGTTGAAAATTTAAAAAGAAACAAAAAAGAAAATAATTACGGTGTATCAGATGTTGTTGTCTTATAATCCACTGATTTTTTTTGTAATCTAAATCATAAATTTTAAATGAGAACAAATATATAAAATATTGAACTTGCTGTGTTATATACGAGCAAATTCTGTCAATTTGAAAAGGAGCTAAGTTATTGAGACTGAAAATGAATAAGAACCACGACATACGAGTAAAAATTTATTAAAATAAATCTACTTTGAAGTAATAAATAATGGGTAACTATGAATTGCATATGTGATTGTTAAAATAAAAATGCATGATACAACAGTAGGAAAGATATTCATTATGATAGTTTATAAGAATATTAATTGAAAAAAATACAACAATAATCTATAACAAAAGAAATGGCAGTATTTTGATTTTTAAGTGCAATTTATTTTATAATCATTTGACGGAAAAAACACGGTTAAGTGTAACATAAGTCAATATACTTTCCTTTTCGAGCTATTTTTATTAATACTTTTCCTCTCGAACGTTTGCATCAGTTCATGTTTACCAGTTGGAAAAGTTAAACAACCGGCATGTTCTGTTGTCTCAATGATAGCAACGCCGTGCATAATCTTTAACATGGTTAATGTTAGTTGCAAAAAGTAAACATAGATATCAAACAAAACAAAGCAAAATAGAATATAGAAGTGAACAATATATTTCCGTAAAAGAATTCACCCCCACTATTGATCAATCTTTGACGTCAATCGAGCAGATATGTTCTATATAAATTATGATTGAAAAAAATTTTATTTGTCGTTAATATATGTAAGTATACCTATTATACTTCCATGAGTTAGTTCTGTTGTGAATATAAGCGAGAATGTTGAGGGATACGAGTTAATGAAATGATAGTAATCCAAACAGGAAGTCAAGCAATAAATTAAAGATGCAGCCTATTTAAGCGAGAGCTTGTTTGAGAAAAAAGGAAAGATTCAGAAGTTGCTTTTGTACCGCCAGCGATCATATGAAGATACAAATCTAAATTGCATTGCTTCAAAAAAGACAGATATTCCTACGTCACCCACGCATTGACGAGCAGCTGTAGACTTCTATGATTTGTCCGTCATTACCTCAGAAAACGTATGAAGTGATCTGTATGTTTTTTTTCTCTCATTGTTGTCACTAACGTTGCTCTTAGAAACTTTAATGATCAAGACGCATGATAGAAATAATATATGCGGAGAGTATTCGTTCTCGAGACTCCCGTGTAAACAAATTCAGCATTTCTTGTATTTTTTTTCTATCAATGAAAACTCAAATGCGTGGTATCCTGTCGCGATCTGACTTCAATATTGATGCATAATCATTCAAAATACTGAAACCGACTCATGCATTTCTCCATGTACCATTAAGTATAGACGTTGATGAACGGCAATTTAAGTAGGAAAAAAAGATATATGTATGCTGAACGCATACTTTGTTTCCATTGAAACAATATGCATGAATATTCAATAACTGGAACGATTCACAAGAGACAAGCACTTCGAATTTTACTCCGACGATTTACATTAACAGTAGTATTGAGATTCCATTATATAAGCATTCAAGAGAATTATATAAAGAATTAATGAAAAGAAAAAAAAATCATTTTTCTTTATAGTTATATCTAAAATTAGAAAAAACAGGAAAATACATCTATGTTATGATTTCCATATGGGTGTGTGGTTTCATGATTAATACTATTTTATTTTAATCAATAATATCTAAAGATTAAAAATACGTAAGCAGGACATTCCCAAAAGCTAATTAAGACCATTGTATTTACATATAATGCGAGTAATCGCTTTCACGTTTTCATGATAGATAAATAAACAATATATTTGACGAGCTCATCATTAGTTTTGACTAGACCTTCTGAATGAACAGTATCTATCTAATATCATGTTGACGCTCTACAAAGTATGCCTATCGCATAACTCTGCTAATAATTTTTTATCAGTCTTTAGTTAACTTGGTTCCTGGAGTTAGTTACTCATGTAGATCATTTTTCACAAATACTCATATGTCAAAATTGCTGATTAGATTATTTATACGCAAACTTGATCTAAGGAAGCTTGCAGAATTTTGAAATAATTCGGTGATCATTTATAAATTTTTTATGTATCATTTGAAAATATATCTAAGGGCTTGAACTAAACTATAAAACAACATTATTTGGGTGAGCCACTTCGTTTGAAACTAAATATTTTCCTTAAAATATCAAACTTACTCGGATACATAGAATAAAATACAATACGATTAATATCCTTCTAAGCATAAAAGTTTTATTTACTTTTGTGGTTGGTCACATATGCAATACAGAAAACGACATTGGTGGAACGCAGGCAGAACAGTTTATGATAGCCAGAAGGCTGCATATCCAAATTTTTAAACACCCTCAAGTAGATAATTTATTTTCATTTCTACCTGCCTCGTACGTTTCATTAAAAAAATAGAGGGCTTCTGTTGTAAAAAGAAATACTCCTCATTAACAGTTCGCCTGTTATTTTGTTTTCCTCTCTTTATGACAGCATGGTTTTGTATTTAGCATGAAACACATGTCGAAAACCAGAATAAATATGTGGCCTTATATTTTATTTAATGCTCCAAAATTAACAATGAAGTATAGAATGATGTTTCATTTTTTTAAATTTAAGTAACGTACTTGTAGATTTAATTGATTTTATTTTACCCTGGAACGAAATTTTATGAAAATCTATTCATAGATGAATTAAGCAAAGCAAATAATTCTTCATAAGTTGAATACAAAGGCAGAGATATATTGTGGAGGAGAAAAAAGTTGAACTGTAAGGTAGAAGAGTAGAAAGAAGGATTCGTTTAGAATAGTAAAAAAGGAAAAGGTATATATATAATTTTCTAAATGGAAGAGGTGGATACTTAGATTTATCGACATACCTCTGGGCCAAAAATGGCGTACTCATTTGTTTTCAATTATTGTTACAATTCATTTCAATGATGACAGAATATTATTGATTGCTAATTTATCTGTAATTCAGATAGGACTGTATGATGAAATAAATAAATAATGAAAACCCAGTGATGTATTTATTATTCTTCTCCCGCTAGGGTTTTTACTGGAATTGTTAATACCTAATTCCTATTACAATTTGGAATATGCTTTTTCATCATGGGAATCGGCTTTATAAAATATTTATTGTTTTTTTTACTATTACCATAGTTGAATATTCTTGAAGCAGATTTCTTATTCACGAATATTCTTCCGACGACATGCTGAGATTGTCAACTGGAAGAATTAGTTGCACTAGAATTTAATCTCTAATTTTGAATATATTGTTGATTTGAATTACAAAGGAACGCAAAACAGTACATAACTACACTTAAGTAATTATGTTTTTAATTTCTATTTAACAATAAACCTACCTCACAAAATCCACCACTTTATCAAAATAGATCACCTTCCGTTCATCTGTGATGAAAATGTTTCACATCCCCCACATGTTAAAACTTTTTATTTGATGTGGTTACTATATGTCTAACTATAATTCAACCATTTGTTAATAAACATCTTTATTTTAACGAAAATCCTCAATTCGGGCTCACAAATCGTCAAGACGTATATTCTGCAAATGTTAAATAGAAAAACAATTAAATTCAAGTGTTTTGTTTTGGAAATATAAATAAAGTTGTTGAAAAACAAAAATGAATAAGTCGATCTTGTTGATTTTAACATGTTCAAAATACTCTGAAGTTAAATAATATAGTGTATATGTTGCTACGAAAGACGGATACCTTTGAAAGAAAGTTTATATTTTGTTTTTACCGTATGTAAGGGATATGTTGTTGAAAATCTGACTAGTTTTCGATGTCCACTTAGGTTGCTACTTGAACATGAGACAACGAGACTGTTTAGCACTAAAAGTTTTTTATACGGTTTCGTCTATTCTCAATCGATATATATTATTTCTTGTAGATAATAATGAAAATAAATAGTAGCGCGTAGTCAAAATCGAGCTGTTTTTTTAGCTAAAATGAGGAAAAATGGGTTTTGTTGTCTACTATCATATTTTTAAAGCTATGCTGCATCATTGAAAAAGACGTAATTAAACAATCAAAGTGCCATCAGCCGTTGAGCTACAGTTTGATATCAATGAATTTCCTGTGATTGTAATCATAGCTATAAAATTTATTCTCTTCTAGATAAATGCGTTACTGTCATGTTTTGATGCTAAATGTTTGTAGAAACAAATTTCGAGAAAAATGAATCTGACCACCACCACGTGTACTATCGTAGTCACAAAGACAATTTGAAATATTGTGTTCTGAATGAGGAAGTTTCTTTGAAAGAGAGCTTTTATTAAACTCGCTGATGGAAGGAATCATTTCAAATGAGTGAGTTATCACGATATTCTATCTATCTAAAGTAGGGTTGTACGGGTCGTGCTCATGAACACTCAAATGAGCGTGAGCGGTAACCGCTCACGCTCACGCTCGCGAGCGCGAGCGTTTCTGCTTTAAATCAGATCTGTTCAAAATATCATCAGCTAAGAATGTACTATTGCTTGCATGTATACAAAAGCGCATATAAAGTTGTTGATATCTCGTATACCTGCTATAATATTTATAGTTGACGCGGATAGGCATTTTGTGATCTATTCATCACTAAAGATCATAATAATTGATCCTTTTTGACTTTTCAATTTGCATTCGTAACTCCTTAATATTTTTTAAGCTCATTTATCTTGTTGATGTAATCAATCTAAGAGTGAAGCTAGAATCTTATTATACATAGCTCATTGATACAGATTTGTATTTACTTGGCTTGAGACTAAGAATTTCGTTACTAGATATCCTAGCGCAAACAATCAGATATTAAAATCTAACAAGATTCTACATCTGATCTTGTATGATCTTGTAAGATCCGATAAAAAAATCGTATGAAAATCGTAGTCTCTGAACTCTTACATCAATTCGTTCTATCAGGTTCTTAAAAGATCTTATTTTATCGTAAGATATGACTATAAAACTATAGGAAATCTTATGCAATAGTAAAATCTTGCAAGTGTCTTATTGTAAGACTTAATGTAAGATTTCAGAGACGACGAGTTTTTGCACGATCTTGTCTGGTTTCGCACGATCTTACATCTGATTTTTCGAGCTGGGATATAATAAAAACAGATCCATCTTACTCTATGGAATTATACAATTGAGCGAATTGGTGCTGCATGATTACACAGATGATGAAAATTTCTGACGAGTATTGACATAACTTTATCTTGACGTAGTTATTTATCCTATTGAAGTGAAATACTTTAAATCTGGTATGATTCAGTAG